AATAACGGTTAATATTTTAGCACACTAACCCACCCAAAAGTTAATAATAATAATAATAATAATAATAATAATAATAATAATAATAATAATAATAATATAATTAATTGAAAAATAAAGTCATTTAACCGAATACTTATGGTAATCATTTAACCGAGAAATCTTTGTTATTTGACAAAATTATAGGACGAACTCTTTATCTATTAGTAACAGAAATTAATTAAACCCACCCTGTAACTACACTAACCAAAATTAATGAAAAGTGAAGTCAATATTCAAACCTTAAATATACTTACCAATAAGGAATATGAGAAATTTTTGGCCACTCAGAATCAGGACCACTTTCTGCCTTGAATTTCTCTTCCAACAGCGGGCATCCCCAAATATGTAATTTTTTTAATTTGGTGAGTCGTTGCATAGCTTCTTTAGAGGGCAGATGCCTGAGCTTTTCACAACAACTTAGACTTAATACTTCAAGAGATGACAAATTCCCAAACCAATCGGGTAATGCTTCCATTCCAAAAGTATGTATTTCCAATTCTTTTAAGGAAGTGAGATGTTGAAACTGATATCGTAAAGAGACCCAATCCTCTTGGCCAAATAACGATAATTTCTCAAGAGATGACAAATTCCCAAACCAATCGGGCAATTCTTCCATTCCAAAATCACGTATTCTCAATTTTTTTAGGAAAGTTAGATGTTGAAGCTCATCTGGTAGAGAGATCCAATCCGCTCGACCTAATAACTCTAATTTCTCAAGGGATTTTATGTGTTCGATACCGTCGAAAAAATCTTGAAATGAATTGAAGTTTGAGAATTGCCCAATCTCCAATTCTATTAAGCTGTTAAGGCATCCAATCCCACTCAATTTAGGAAACAATGTGAGATTAGTGCATCATGTTACACTTAGTTTCTGTAGAGATCCCATCCCACTCATTTCAGGAAGCGAAGTGAAATTCGGGCAGTCCCACACAGATAGATGCTGTAGAGACTTACTACACTTCAGCATTTCATTTGGCAGGTTGCTCAACTCATTGCACCAACCAATGAACAACTTCCGAAGGGAAAGGAGGCCTTCTTGTCCATTTTGATACGAAATTGATTGCAGATTTCTACATTTCCATATTTCCAATGTCTCGAGAGACTGGAGGCTGCCTAGGTCATAGGGTAATTCCCTCAATTCATCACAATACGAAATTTTCATCTTTTTAAGAGAAGCTCCGCTGCCCCGCAAGTGGGGAACATTAGCCAATTTACTACACTCAATTATTTCCAATTTCTCAAGAGACTGG